CCCCAAAACCCCAAAACCCCAAAACCCCAAAACCCCAAACAATTATAAAATTTCAAATAAAAATTTAGAAAATGATTGATAATAAGAGTAAAGATCACAAGGCAGACTTTGACTCCTTGATGAATTTTTTGTCTCATCAGAAGAAAGAGGTAAATTAGAGACTCAAATTTTGGAAGATTTTGAGCATTTAGATATTAGAGTTGGTCGAGGAAGTTTGGGAATATACTAAATTTCTGTTGTGAGAGGAAATATTGAAATTTAGTTTACACCAATTGTTAATCCTACTTTACAGCGACTGCAAACACATCAAAGCACAAGAGTAAATTCTCAACTGGTAAGCTTATTTTATCAAATTTCCCGAAAATTCCTTGAACCAGTCTTAAAAATTCTAACTAGAGAGGGGCTCAAAAGAAACAGGTGGTTAAAAAGAGGCCTGTGACCAACAAACCATGGAGGAGACCCAAAGTATGGGTGAACGAGTTCAATAAATATCCTGATGCCATCAAATGAAAGGACTTAACTCCTCAAGAAATCGTAAATATTTCTCCTAAACTTTAGTACAAAATTAACCTGATCAAGAGAACTTATGAAATCGGAGCTGATAAAATCCAGAAAGACAAGTCAATTAAGGAACCGATGATGACCAAGATGGGCAAAGACATGATGGATAGGAAGAAAAAGGAAAACTTAAAGTATGCTGAAACCGTCAGAGAGAAAGAGATGTTCGAGTGGAGAAACAGGTGAGAAAGCTTTAGAAACAGGACTGAGATTGTATAGGAGAAGACTCATAGCTACAGGCAAAGCTACACAGTATAGACATGGAGCCTGGGTTCCAAATATGAAGCCACAAGAAGAATTTGATCATAAAACTGTGGATAGAGTTCATTACAGGAAGAGAACTCTTGGGAAAATCAGTAAGGAGATTATAGTAACCTGATAGATGATCAACCTTTACAGCAGAACAAGTTCAAAGTAGGTATTCCTCACAGATACGTTGGTTAAAAGCCTGTTACAGCATTGAGCATGCTAAGAATTATTCGATACAATTCAATTTTTAAATCAAGAGAAGGGGTTTTGGGGTTTTGGGGTTTTGGGGTTTTGGGG